GTCCCAGCTACTTGGGAGGCTGAGGCAAGAGACTCACTTGAGCCCAGGAGTTGGAGGTTGCTGTGAGCTGAAATGCCATGGCAATCTACCCAGGGGGACAGCTTGAGGCTCTTGTCTCAAAAAAAAAAAAAAAAAAAAGAGAGAGATGGGCATGTTGTTCGTGCTTAGGCTAGTCTCAAACTCTTGAGCTCAAGTGATCCACCCACCCTGGCCTCCCAGAGTGCGTGAGCCACCTTACAGGCAAGAGCCACCACACCTGGCCTAATTATTTGTATTTCTGTAAATCAGAGATTACAAACTCAGGTGCCTTTAAGGGCTAGTAAGATGACATCAATAAGTCAAAGGAGCCATGGAGAGCTATAGGGAGTTGTGGGGATTCTTACAAACTGGAGGGGGCATGTCGCTGCTGAAATGAGTGATATTTTCTCAGCTCTAACAGAGTTTTTCTTTTCTTTTTTTAGAGATAGAGTCTCACTTTGTCACCCGCGGTAGAGTGCTGTGGTATCACAGCTCACAGCAACCTCCAGCTCCTGGGCTTAGGTTATTCTCTTGCCTCAGCCTCCCGAGTAGCTGGGACTACAGGCGCCTGCCACAACACCAGGGTATTTTTTTGTTGCCGTTTGGCCAGGGCCGAGTTTGAACCCACCACCCTTGGTATATGGGGCTGGCGCCCTACTCACTGAGCCATAGGTGCCACCCTCTATCAGAGTTTTTCTGCATGGAAATTTGGTTCCAGTATTCTACTTTTTTTTTTTGAGACAGAGCCTCAAGCTGTCTCTCTGGGTACAGTGCCATGGCATCACAGCTCACAGCAACCTCCAGGTCCTAGGCTCAAGTGATTCTCCTGCCTTTGCCTCCCAAGTAGCTGGGATTACAGGCGCCTGCCATAACGCCTGGCTACTTTTGGTTTGCAGCCATTGTTGTTGTTTGGTTGGCCCGGGATGGATTCAAACCTGCTAGCTTAATTATATGTGGCTGGCGCCTTAGCCGCTTGAGCCACAGGTGCCAAGCCAGTATTCTGCATTTTTTTTTTTTTTCAGTTTTTGGCCAGGGCTAGATTCAAACCTGCTAGCTTAATTATATGTGGCTGGCGCCTTAGCCGCTTGAGCCACAGGTGCCAAGCCAGTATTCTGCATTTTTTTTTTTTTTTCAGTTTTTGGCCAGGGCTAGGTTTGAACCTGCCACATCTGGCACATGGGGTGGCACCCTACTCCTTTGAGCCACAGGCGCCACCCTACATTTTTAAGAGAAATCAGAAATTTGGAAAATATGTGAAGCGAGGTGTGGTGGCATATACCTGTAATTCCAGTGACTTGGGAGGCTGAGGCAGGAAGATCACTGAAGCCCAGGAATTTGAATCCAGTTTGGAAAACATAGCAAGACCCTATCTCTAAAATAAAATACCCGGGCGGCTCCTGTGGCTCAAAAGGGTAGGGTGCTGGTCCCATATGCTGGAGATGGCGGGTTCAAATCCAGC